TCTCTCTCTCTCTCTCTCTCTCTCTCTCTCTCTCTCTCTCTCTCTCTCTCCGTCCCTTCGTCTCTCCGTCTCTCCGTCACTCTTCGCCTCTCTGTGTCGCCCCTCCTCTCCTCCCACCCATCTTTCTCGTCTCCCACGCAATCTCTTCCCCCCCCTCTCTCTCTCACCCAATTTCACCCAATCTCTCTCGCGCTGTTCGCTCTTGCACTCGCTGTTTTTTTTTTGTCGCTTGTTGTTGCTATTTGCCAGAGTCGAGCAGGAAGATGACGGCTAGGAGGCTCCGCGATATCATGAAGAAGTGCTCGCAGAACGAGGAACGCTTCCTGGCGTGAGTTGGTGCATGTGCCCCCTTCCCTTGACGTACATACATTGTATACCGTAAATGACACAAGATAACACACCCCCTGGACCGGTTTTTCAAATCTCGATTTCTCAACAACAGAAAGAGTCACGGTGCCGAAAATGGCGGCGTTAGAACCGTCTCGTCGAGAGCTTTCCAAAAATGCATCGTTTCGTTTATGCATCTTCTTCGTCGTGGAGTAATCGGGCTTTGAAAGATGGTCCAGGGGGTCTGTTATCTTGTGTCATACATGGTGTGTATTCCATCGCGCACATGGCGTTGCCACTTTGCTTCTTCGGTGGCAGCAGCGGTTGCGTGGCGGGTTTTGCATGGCAGAAGAAAAGCACAACGGAGACATTTCCAGCCTGGTATGCGCAGCGTCTCTTCTTTCTGTACGAACAAGTGTCCCATTCTTGGAGTGAAATTTCTGCGTAGCCAACGGCAGGGTTTTTCGACGGTGTACATCGTCTCGCCGTGTTGCTTCGGTACCGCACGAGCTGTGGCGAGACTTGGACTGCTGTGTGCGTGTTTGCTACCACATGGGGTCTGATTAACGAAGACCATCTCTCTGGGTGTGCTCTTGCTCACGTTTTCCTGTCGTTTCGTGGCTGCTGCATTTCTCCGGCGACGCTTGTTTTCTTTCGCTTTTGCAACGATTTGGACGTGGGCAGCGCTGTGGAGACGGAGAAGGCCAGGGCCGATCGTTTCGAGGAGATGCTGGAGGACTGTAGGAGGGAGAGGGACGCCGAGTGCGAGCGCTTGCAGCACAATATCGACAGTCAGAAGGAGCAGCTCGACGTGGGTGTTTGTGCCGTTGTCGTTGATCTCGCCATGTCCGCGTGTATGCTTGCGAGTATATACCGCATGTGACACGAGATAACACACCCTCTGGACCAATTTCCAAAGCTTGATTACTCCACGACGAAGAGGATGCATAAACGAAACGATACATTTTGGAAGTCTCTCGACGAGACTGTTCCAACGGCGCCGCGTGACTCTTTCTGTCGTTGTTGAGGAATCGAGATTTGAAAATGGGTCCAGGGGGTGTGTTATCTCGTGTCATTTACGGTGTTCACGTATAGTGGTGTCGTTCTTCTCGGCAGTACGCAAGTTCTGTATCGATAGCTGGAAAGGAGCGTTGACGCGAGCGGCCAATTCCTGTTCGGTTGCTCTTCTCCCTCTCTCTCTTCCCCCCCCCCCCCCCCCCCCCCCCCCCCCCCCCCCCCCCCCC